CCACATCTTCTTGGAGAATGGGACACATATCCGTAGGATGTCCCATTGTTGCACATATTCCACAAACCATCACTTGTGGAGTTTGTCCCATGGCTAGCTTTTGGACAACGGAAGTTAGATCTTTGATTTGAGACTCGAGGCTTGATGTTCCCACCTCATTGACTTTTTGTTGAGTTTCTCTCTTCATATCTTGGCGCGGGCCAAAGTGTTGGGAATTTGCGGCTATGGTGTTGAAAAGTTGTCTTGTTTGTTGTGGAGTTTTACTAAAGACATCACCACCACTTGAGGCATCGACTAGTCTTCTCTCCATTGGCAACAATCCCTCATAGAAGTGTTGAATGAGGAGTTGTTCCGGAATTTGGTGTTGTGGGCAACTATAGCACAAGTTGTTGAACCTCTCCCAATAATCATGAAAAGTCTCATTTTGACCTTGGCGGATTCCACAAATCTCATTTCTAAGACTTGAGACTCTTGAAGCGGGATAGAACTTATCAAGAAAAGCTCTTGCCATGTCGGTCCATGAGTTGATTGACCCCGGGGGAAGATAGAATAACCAATCTTTTGCTCTATCGGCCAATGAAAAGGGGAATGCCCTTAGCTTGATTTGGTCATCGGTTGACCCTTGTGGCTTCATACTAGTGCAAATAATGTGGAACATCTTCAAGTGCTTATGTGGGTCTTCGTTCTCCAATCCATGAAAAATCGGGAGGTGATGGACTAAACTTGACTTCAATTCCGAACCTCCTTCCAAAACCGGGTAATTGATGCCGGTTGGAGTTTGTGTAACATCGGTTTCCATCATTTGCCTCAAAGTTCTTTCGGGAACTTCTCCTCCGTCCGCCATTGCAATTGGTTCAATAATGGGTGGATTTTGTTGTAGAGGTGGTGTTTCGGGAATTTCTCGGCGAGGGTCGGGACTAGAATCGGGTTCCGTATCGCTTGATGAAACGGGTTCAACCTCCGGATCCCCGTGAGGATTAGAAGTTTGACCACGTTCAATTCGTTTTTCCTTCGCCAAACGCCTTGCTTCTTTTTCAATTTCTGGGTTGTAAATCAAGTCACCTGTACGCTGAGATCTGGGCATAGAGAAACAAACTGATTAAATATAAACCAATCCCCGGCAACGGCGCCAAAATTTGGTGGTTGTCGAGGCCAACAAAAATAAATAACCCTAAATATTTTACACTAAAATAGTGTATAGTGGTAAAGGGGTCGATCCACGGAGATTGGTTCAATTTATAACTCTATGGAAAATCTTTTTGCAACAGTACTTCTAAAATGACAATAAAATAAAAATGGGGGTTTTGATATTTTGAAATACTTGAAACAAACTAGAATTAACTAAGATTTAAATAGACAATTTCAACAAAAATAAGAGTTTGATGTAAAATCAATAAGAGAAGGATGGTTGACTTAAAGTTTCCTCACTTTGACTTTTGATGAACATATCATTAGAATCAAATGGTGCAATACTTGTTTTAAATCCTTAATTTGGCTATAGTAATCCAAGAAGCTTGAGATTACCTAGACTTTTCTTAGTTGTTAAAATGGTTAGAGAAGCTCATAACAATTTCCTTAGTCAAAGTCACAATTCCATTAAGCATGTAATTAGTGAAAGTCAACTAGCATTAAGAACCAAAAAGTCACCAAATCCAAGAGGGGTCAAATGCTTTCACCACCATGTTGGAGAAAATGTTTTTATGATTGTGTGAAGTAAAACTAACACAAGAATCACTTGTTGCTTGCTAATTTGAAGATCCTTTACTTAATCAAGAAATTAGCCAACTAATCACCACAAACACATTTAAACTCATGAATAGAAACATGCAAGTAATGATAAGATGTTAAAACACAAAACATTTTCATAAAGATTCAAACACAAATTCATGGATTCTTCAATATTCAACAAAAGTTCAAAGGATTCAACAAAAGTCAACCAAGATTAGTTTAGCCAAGCATGACTAAACTCAAGGAAACAAAGTTAGTTAAGATTGTACCAAACATTTAGCAAGAATTAAGAGATGAAATGGTGAAGTTCTTGAGGGTTCTTGGCCTTCAAAAATGCTCCAAACTCCAGAGAGAAAGTATCAAAATCGGACCTCGAAGATAAGGCTGAAGAGGCACACCAACCTTCCCAATATAGAGCTCTAAGTAAAATCCCGAAATTGCCCTTGTCAGGAATCCACGCGGGCCGCGGGGAATCTTACGCGGGCCGCGTGACTTCGACGGAAATTTTTGGGCTTCTTCAAGTCTTGGGCCCCCACAGCTAATTAATTGGCCCAGTTCGAGTCCAATCAGCTTCTAGCCCATTTCTCTTCAATATTTCTTCAATTTGAGCCCAATTTGTCTCTCCACATCACTCAAAACTTCCGCAAATTCCTAAACATCGATCTTGCACACTCAAGAATTCTCCCGTGGCTTTAAAATTTAAAGTTTAATTCTTCCAACCCTTCAAATAATTGACAATCCCACTCCATGCATCACCTCTATAAACCATCAAGCCTAAAATCCTCGTTGTCCTCCAAGTCCAATTGCTTTCCAAAAGATCTCGCTCCGCTAGTCTCCTTAAAATCTGTAATTAAGCTCACAAAACTCGAAAGAACCCGAAAGTGGTCATAAAATAACAAAAAGGAAAATATGCATGGAAATTATCTAAATTGCGAATGAAATATGCTAAAATAAACTATAAAAAGAAGTAAATAAAATGAAGCTATCACACATTACATTTTTTTATTGGCGTAGGAGTTTGTTTTACCTGTGGGACGACAAGTGTGAGGACCATCAACAGGAGTAGACCTACGTTGAACAGCTAACACAGAGGCTTCAATAGGAATTGAGCGTCCCATGGCCCGTTTTTCAGATTGAACTTTCCTAATGTATGCATAACTTTTTTCCAGTGAGAACTTAGGATCCTTTCATAGTATTTCTCCTCTAACCTGATCATATTCAGGATCAAGTGCACTCAGAAACATATGCACCCGCAACCGAGACATCATTGACGTCTGGAGAACAGCTGCTGTTACATTATTGTTTTGAGACGTCACTCTTTGATCGATCTCCTGGAACATGGCTACCAATTCTAGGAATAGGTCGGCCATTTGTTTTGCTTCAAAACACTTTTTATTCAATTCAAAGATTCGAGTTTCATCTGAGTCATCATAAAAGGTTTTATCTACTACATCCCAAATGTCTTTCGCACTTGGGAGACGAATGTACCTATTCATAAGGGAAGTTTCCATGGAATCAATTAACCAAATTTTTACCTTCTCATTTTCTGTGGCCCATGTTTCATATTCAGAAGAGTCCTTTGAGGGTTCAGCTTTTGCACTGGTCAGGTATCCAATCTTCCCTCTCGTTCTAATACGCATTCTCATGAGCGGCGCTAAATGGTGTAGTTGGATTCGTCCAATGAAAGGGTTTTTGGAAAAACAGAATTATCATGTTGGGTGTAGTGGTGGTGGATGATTTGTGAGAATAATTGGGTATTTGGTTCTTCAGAGGATTGATTTTCGTCAAGACACATTCTTGAAAATTTCGAGTTTGGATTTCAAGGAATAGAAGGGTGAATGATTCAAAATACAATTTAGGGTTTTTGTCTGATACCATGAAGACACAGAGTAATTTGGGAATTGTATATCTCTTCATTCAATCAAGCAATATAAATATATATAGGGGAGAATATGAGAGAAATATGGAAACTAAATATATACAACCTAAAATAAGAGATACTAATTGATCCTAATTCTATAGAATATATACACGAGATATTATTCTACAATATAATCATCTCTCTGCCGTTTATCACCAAACGAGAGAAACCTAGCCTTCCATTTGTGCTCTCCCTCTACTCGACCATCCTTTGATGTTCCTCGTTATTGGGCATGGTCCACTCTTCTCATAAAAAGTGGTTTCATGTTTTCATGGTTGTAACCAGATTTCAAAATATGAATAAAAGGCATAAAAAGGACGTAAAAAGCAACTACAAGGATGAGATGAACCATGTTATTGCTTAAATCGTTTGTTGAATGGAATCCTGGAATCAACCGACCACCAGATTCCTCCTCTTTCGTTGATTTATTTGTTGCATTGATTGGTTGACCAAGAGATCTATCTTTTGAGTTATAAGTTACTATTTTTGTTATTATTGCTTCCGTTTAGGGCCGAGTCTACATTTAACTAAGGTGGGTCCAATGACCCACCTAATTTTTTTAATTTAGCTAAATTTTCTATAGGAAAATTTTAGTGACCTACCTTTAAAAAAATTAGGACCTACCTTGCCTATAAATTTTTTGAATTTGTATAGAAATTTCTTTATAAAAAAATTAGTGAACCATGTGGTTTCCTATTCTAGACTCGCTACTGCTTCCATTGTGTTTGCGCCTTTGTAGCCAAATATTGTCATAAACCAACACATATTTGGGTTGTAGATTGATTGTTGTGTTGGTTCCCTTTGTTGCTAAGCCAGAAGTTATTGAAGGAGTTTCTCGAAGCCACTTTTTATACTGCTTGGTGGAGTTTATGGTTATTTGGAAATGGTGCTTTGTTTCTAAGTTATGTCTAAAAGGAGCTGATTTGTTTTACAAAATAGTTACTCTGTAGTTTGTCGGTTTATAATGGTTAACAATATGTGTAGGAAGGTCAAAGTGAACTTGGTCAGGCGCTTCAAAGTCCCATCCTTGCTGCTGTTACTGTGATGTTATTTTGTTTAGTCTAGCTCCTTGTTAACATTATAAAATGCTGATGTTCTGAAAAACAATTTAACAAATAAATTCTAAGACTTTGTTAGCTGACTTCGATCTACTAACCACTTGATTCTTGTTGACTTTGAACATGAGTACCGATAAGTATCCGAAAAATCTCAACAAGATATTAACTTTATTTAGACATTCTACAAATGGATCAAGATTCATGCATTCATTCATTACTATCTTCCCTACTTGTTTATTCAGCTGATTTCCAGGATCGTATACTTTACATTCACATGTCTATCAACATAAGACCTATTCAGTTTGACTTTTAAGAGTCAGACTGTTTTGATAGCAATGCTGCAAGACCTGCATTATGTATTCCATTGATGGGCGTTTGTCTTGTTTTGCTTGAAGACAGTTTGAAATAAGTTGAGTGAACTTGAATGCTTCCTTTGGAGGAAAATCAATATTTTGAACTCGTGGGTCCATTATCATACTCAAATTAACCTCATCTGCTAGCAATGGAAGAGCCCATTCCACCAGGTTTTGCTTTCCAAGGGGCCTCCTCCTATCATACACCTTCATCCCTGTTAGTATTTCCAACAGTACCACTCCAAAAGCATAGATCTCACTCTTAATTGCAAAACCTGTCAAAGTGGTGTTTGATTGGTCAGCCATTGACACATGTGTTTGGTATGATGGAATTAGAGAAGGAATGGAATTGTTTGTTTCCTTGGTTAGAAAAGGAAAGATGTTAGGATTGTCCAATGGAGCATTCCTTAAGGAATTCAATCCCATCCATTTAGTTGATTTACATTCGTTAGACATGAGATTGTTTTATTTTATTTTATTTTTTTCATTCAATCATGGAGTGGAATGAAAAATTATAATATAACCCATCCTTATGTATAAGTTTTTAATGACAAATCTTTTCAGAATTCCATGATTCTAATTAAATATGATTTTATTTAATTATGAAAAATAACTAGAAATATATATTTACTATTATAATCTCATTTCGGTTTTGGCGAGCTTCTATTATGTTTAATCTTTTAGTATTATAAATAATAAATTCTATATTTATTTAGAGAAATTATATATAAAATACTGTAAAAACTATACCTCGTATTTAATTTATATATACAATAGAAAATTTGTATAAAATTCATCCATTTGTACGGGTAGTAAACATGATGTTGAATGTAATGATCCACTCCATTTCCTTGCTTATTCCATTAATTTGGTTATTCAATTCCATCCAACCAAAGGCTTTTAGCTGTGTTGGGGTAAGTCATAAGTGCATGGTAAACAAATGGTTGCAATATTATTTTTAGATATGCAAAATATTTCACTTAGAAAGAAGAAGATACCATCTTCAGGAAGCCGCAGTGGATGAAGACCATCAAACGTGTCTACTTGGTGACAAAAAGACTCAGGGGCTGCATAACAATATGCATCTAATTGGAAGGTGTGAGTAACAAAAGCAAAATCTGAAAGCCGAGCATTAAAATCCTGAAAATAAGCATGGAATATATAATCATATGAAAAAATAAACTAAAACTGATGTTATGCTAGAATCACGGTAATGGCATTGTAATTTACCTTATCCACTAATATAAGATTGGTCTTAAATTGGCTATACGCTGGCTGGTTCCTTTTATGTAAATAGGCCAGGCCTTCAGCAGCTCCTATTGCTATTTTTAATCGTGCAACCCAAGAAAGTGAAGTACCTGACTCTGCATATAAAGTAACATAAGAAAGGGAAATGCAATTTTCCATCTTGCATATAAGTTAGGGGAGATTGTACTCTTTTTACGAATACTTTATTTTTCACACGTAATAGAAATATATATACTTTAATTTACCAATAACAAAAATGTACTTACATTTTTTACCAATAATAGCAATATGTATCACATAATAGTAATATACTAACATTCACTTTACAAATAATAGCAACATCCAAACAATTATGTGCTCATAATAGCAACGTATTTACACTTTACCACAAATTGCAATATGTAACAAATAAAGTACAATGCTCAAATTGGTAGAAAAATATAAGTACATTGTTATAATAGGTTAAAAATAAAGTATGTTGCTATTATTCATAGAGAAATGTATGAACGTTGCTATTATTGGTAAGACTGTAAGAAAGTAATGTATGTTGCTATTATTCATAGAGAAATGTATGAACGTTGCTATTATTGGTAAGACTGTAAGAAAGTAATGTAGAGAGAGTAAAGTAAGTTGCTATTCTTAACAATTTTCCATTTATTGCATGCCAACCACTCAAAGCATGCATGTTTATGCAAGGCTATATTTGCCAGATGCTTATATATTTATAATATTAGAGGCTTTATTATGTAAATGTATTTCATATATATACATGCATGTATTGTAACGATTAGGTCAATAATACAAGATATAATTTACCCAGTAACTTGGTATTAGAGCTAGAAAGAAAAAAATAACCCTAGTCTCAAACTACCGCCACTTCTGAGCCTTGTCGATTCACAATCATCGACCCCTTCCCTTATTGATTTCTTCATCCAAATCGATTGCAGCAGTCGACATCCATGGCAGCCCAACTCGTCTCCTTTTCTTCTACAAAGAAAACTATGCATAACTCACACAAAATCGGGTTTTCATTGTCTCCGACAAACTATGGATAATGGAAGGCTATGTTCCAACCTTTTCTTGTCACAAACAATTTATTTGGATATGTTGATGGCACCATCATGTATCCTGCACCGTTGATCACATCACCTAGAAAAGAAGGTGAGCCAACCAATTACAAAACAAATCCCAGTCATGAAGTTTGGATATCCAATGGTACCCACGTCTGTATGCTACTCATGTCAACCATATCAGAGGCATCCTTTCAACACGTTCAAGGTACTACTTCTCATGATCTCTGGTTAGCTCTTAAACGTACCTACGCACCTTATACTTCTTCAAGAGAATTCATGTTGAAAACTCTATTGGTAAAAATACAAATAAAGGGGAATGATACCATGCAACCTATCTCACTAGAGCACAAGAGTATGTTATTGCTTTTGCTAATATCGGACAACCCATATCAGAGAAAGATGGTGTTATGTTAGTTTCTGCACGTCTTCGAGATGAGTATAATGGGGTCAAACAAAGCCTCATCTCTAGACAATCCACGGCTGTCTTTTTAGAACTTCATGGTCTATTAGCTGATCATGAGTTTTTGGTACAAAAATAGTTCCAGATGTTGCCAAGGATCAATTATTGACGGTTGCTACAACACCCGATTATCCCTTTCAATCTGATACAGTTCAGGCTTTACAACAACTTAGGTACCACCTTAGTTTCCAACTACATCAAACTTATGGTACATCACCAACACCGACTTCTCAGGACTTTTAGACTAATAGATCTAGACTGCCTAACAACAACCGTACCCAGGGGGGTCAACTCCCGTGGTCGGGGTGGACATTGTTACAATGGCTACAATTTTATTCGAAATTGAGTAGCATGATATCCAAATCGAGGTCAGTTAGTTGGGCTTCTAACCAGAATATAGTTTATGGTACGTATAGTAGGTGTGGGATTGGTCATGTTCTACCCCAATGCCCAAACTGCGACCCCTGTATATTCTCGATGAGACAACCAAAACCATAAACCAATTATGCTGATATTGCTCACAAGTGTGTTGGTGATTTTAGTGTCGCCAACCATTTTGTGTAATTGGAACTAATATGTGAGCTAAGGGGCTTATTATTTGTAGTTTGTATTATATGTTTGGTGAATTCAAAGTGCATGTATATAAAAGACCAAACTATAAACCGGTGCGACAAAATGACGGGAGGTCAAGAGGGTTGCACCCCCTTGCAGGGTCCTAGGGGTAGCGTCCCTAACGGGGTCCAAGAGACAGAGTCGTTAGTGGTAGCCCCGCTCAGTGGGAAATTATGGTAAGATTGACAAATCTCATCAATTTTGGAAACCATTGATTGAGCCGTCATTATTCTCTTCTCAGATCTCTTTCTTCTATAACAAACTTAGAATTCATCTGGAAATTTGGCTTGTGTTTCTATGCCTAGATTCATAAGTGTCCTTTTGGATTGTCCTAGACTGGATTTCTAGTAACCTGGGCATATGATGGAAATATCAGTTCAGAAAGTGACCTTACACGATCCATTAGGAATCCGGTTCTCCACGTTGACCCTTTTATTCCCCAACAATCAAATTGATATTCTCATCTGGTGGAGATGGCTGAATAAATCCATGAGTTGACCATAAAATTCACCAAAGTAGACAAGCTTGAAGGCAATGATTTTAGGCAATGGCAAAAGAAGATGCTTTTCATGCTGACCACGCTGAAGAAGATGTTTTTCATGCTCTCCATGATTTTCATGGCAGGAGAATATGCTTTTCATCATTCGCATTTTGGGTCAATTCAAACTTCACAAAATGAATATGGATGAAACCATATTTATGTTAAGTGTGATTGAAAAACTTCCACCATCATGGAAATACTTCAAGCATAACTTAAAACATCAAATGGAGGAACTATCTATGGTTCAACTTAGTTGTCATTTGCGTATTGAAGAATCCATTTGTGTACAAAAGAGTGACAAAAACAAAGGAAAATTTGAATCTAGATAGCCCTTGGTTCATGTTGTTGAAAACAATCCAAGAAATCTGAACAACAAAGAACATGAAAAACACAAGCAAGAATATGTCCTGAATAACTCCAACAAAAAGAAACAGGAACTGGTTTGTTGGAGGTGCTTAAAAAGTGGGACATTGCAAGCATGATTATTGTGTGAATCTTGGCAACAATGATGCTGGAAATAGTGGAGCCAATAGAAATGGAAATGGGTCAAAGCACCGTGTTAAAGGTGGTCAGTATTTGACTTACTTTGATAATTCTAAACAAAATTATATTTATTATGTTTCACTTATTCTTGAATCATTCAATGTATAGGGTGATGATGTTTCTTCGTGGATCGATCTGGTGCAACAAACCATGTATGCAAGGATGAACGATTGTTTGAAACATTAACATCGCTTGAAGATGGATATGTGTTGCGCATGGGAGATGATTCTTTAAACCTATTTGTGGTGTCGGTGTTGTTAATCTTGAATTTATTTCTAGAAAGATTGTTAGAGTTTTTGATGTTTTATTTGTTCCTAAGATTCAAAATAATCTTGTTAGTGGTAGCTGTTTAAACTCTGATGGTTGTAGACAAGTTTATAAATCGGTTAGGTATACCATATCTCTAAGTGGAATGTTCATTGGTATGGGATATCTAAATAATAGAATGTTTCGTTTGAATGTTATTGATAAGTTATTAAATGTTTCGAATTTTGCTTTTGTTTCATCTTCTTCTAAAAATGATAACTCTATGCTTTGGTATGCTAGATTGGGTCATGTAAATTTTAGAAGGATGCATTAAATGTCAAAAGATGGTCTAATTCCACCATTTGACTTGAATTTGTAAAAATGTAAAAAATGCATTCTAAACGGCCTGCTATTTTTTGATAAGGGTTCCAAATAAAAAGAACAAAATAGTCCCATATGAACTTTGGCTCAAGAAAAAGCCTAATTTGTGCTATTTTCAGGTTAGGAGATGTCCGACAGCTGTAAAAATCACCTAGCCCAAAAGAAAAACTTTGGGAGAACATGAAATTGATTTTATATTTATTAGGTAAGCTGAACATTCCAAGGCATATATGTGCTATGTAATAGAATCTAAGTATTCGATACGACTTAACACAGTTATCGAGTCATTGGATGCATTTTTGATGAGATGTATTTTTCATTTATTCAAAGGCCTAAGGATCTGACTTTAGGAGCTAATGAAGTGCAAAATCCAAAAAGTCAAGATGGCATTGATGTACCACAAACACAAGAGCTTCGTAGAAGCAAAAGAGGCCGAATTATGAAACATTTCAATTTCGACTTCCAACTATATTTGGTGGATGGTTCAAGGGATGAAATTGGTCTTCAATACTCTTATTGTTTTCAAGAGACCATGGAGTCTCGAGACGCTATCTTTTGGAAAGAAGCGATTGAAAAAGAAATATCGTCAATTCTTGAGAACAACACTTAGGTATTGTCTGATTTGCTTCCAGGTTCTAAACCACTTGGTTGCAAATGGGTTTTCAAAAGGAAAATGAGTGTTAATGGGATTGTTGGCAAGTACAAAGCCTGATTGTGCATTCAAGGCTTTAGGCAAAAATCCGATGTTGACTATTTCGATATGTAAACTTCGGTTGTACGTATTTCTACTATTAGATTGTTAATTTCTTTGGCAAGTATCCACAATCTTATTCTCCATCAAATGTATGTTAAAATAGCCTTTTTAGATGGTGAAAATGACGAAGAAGTTTACATGAAACAAACATAAGGTTTCATTATGCCCGGTAAAGAGCATATGGTATGTAAAGTGGTAAAATTTTTGTATGGGTTGAAACACGCATCCAAACACTGGCATCAAAAGTTTGATGAGGTTATTTTGTCTTTTGGTTTCAAACTAAACCAATGTGACAAATGTGTTTATAGTAGATTTAATGATGCGACTAGTGCAGGAGTAATCATTTGCTTATATGTAGATGACATGTTAATTTTTTGTACTGACCAAGATCAAATAGATGAATCAAAGAAATTGTTGTCATCTAAATTCTTCATGAAAGACTTAGGAGAGGATGATGTAATTCTTGTTATAAGGACTACGAGGGTGAACAAGGGCTTATTAATGAC